TACAGTGTCTTTTGAGACATATTTGATCTACTGGAATATGTATATGGTTCTTAAGGAGTGGTCATTCGGGACAAATACAATACATATGTCCTTCGGGACAAAATTTCATAGCCCCTAATGGGACCCATACGAGCTGTGGTGACAGCATAGTGCACAACCTCAATGTACTCGAATACCTTGAGTTCTCAAAAATGTACATGGGCATATAAAAGGTTATCAAAGGTAATTACATTGTTATAGTTATATGTTACCATATTATTATTGTTTACATTGAGTTGTATACTGCATGATTGAATGGATAGATTGCATGTTCATATTCATATTGAATGCATTATTATTATATTTATATGTCTCACTAAGTCTATGACTTAGCGTGTAAGTGATTTACACGTAGGTACCAAGAATCAGGAAGAGCGGAAATAGGGTGGCCAGAACAACAGCACTGCTAGAAGATCAGATCAGAAGTAACGGATAAAGTATGTATTTTGTCGTGTATAGTGTTGGCATGTAAGAAAAGTGTCTGTTAGAAATGCTCTGATCAGTTTTGTCTTGTTTTGGTTAACTAGTGTAAAGTAACAATATTATTTTAATGAAAGTTTTAAATTTCCTTGATTTTTCGTCAATAGTCAAAGTTTGAAAAGTCAATGTGACACTTTGGACTCGTATCCGGGTCGGGTACATGTTGAGGGTGTTACATAATCTTTTTGCACGTTAGAGTAAGTACATATTTATCTTAAAATTTGATTTTTTTTAAAGTTAATTATTCATTTTATTAACAATATATATCTTAAAATTTAATTTATACATATAATATTTAAAAAATAATTATTAATATATATATTTATTTTAAAAAATATTTTTAGATACGCTACTTTAACAAAGAAGCGCGCATGGTTCCCAAGTGCACCTCCCTACCACCTTATTGCTCAGCTTGTCAATTCAAGCAAAAGAAAAATCTGTTTTCAATTAAAAAAAACCTTTCTAATAGTTTTATTTAATTTTAAAGGCAGTTTTAAAAGATCGTATCAGATAAAATTACAAATTTGGACAGTGTCACTTTGTACCATTTATGCACCCCACTAAGGTTGCCTAAGACAATAATTTTTGGTTGATTGGTGTCCATAATGCCAACCTCATGACATGTGGAAATCATCTGAATTTTTGTTGTTTTAAGCAATTATTCATTTGTAATTGTGTACATAAATATTAGTTAAATGATTTTTCTAAAAAAAATATAATTATTGTATTATTTTTTAAATTTAGTAGAAGTTATGAACTAAATGTAAACAATATTTTGAAATAAATAAATAAATTATTGTAAGTGTTTATTGATAATTTTTTAAAAATAATTTGTAATGATTATAAGATAATATCTATTCATAATATTTCTTAATTATGGACAATGCACACACATCTTACAAACACAATTGTTTGAATCTAGGACCTCAAAGAAAAATAATACTCTTTTTAAACATTGAAGTCACTAAATGAGTTGTGTTTATTGATAGTTAAATCAACACTTCTGTTTATAATAAAATGATGGACATAAAATGTTGATTTTAAAGGGAAGTATGGAAAAAAAATTAATCGAAAAAATAAGAAGAATATATATATTTATATATTAATCGATAAAGTTGTCGATAACTGAAAATGATTTTGATAAAATCACCAATAATTGTTGATGCTTTTATTCTCTTTTTTATAACATTGAGATTAAATTGAAAGAAAATGAAAGTATAAACATCACAGTATATATATATATATTAAAAAAACTGACATATTTAAGTAAAACGTTGAGAATAAGGAAAGAAATTAAAATAAGTTGATGTTTAAACAAAAAATGTATTACAAAAAATGGAAAAAAATGGAATTACACAAATTGAAATAAAAAAAAATCAACAAAATTGAAAGTATAAGTTTAATTTTAAATGTTTTGAAACTATGCAGTCTAAGCTCACTAATGCGTTTTAATTATTTTTTATCATACCATGCAATAATGTAATGCTAAAAATATGACTAATTACATCCTTTTAATATTGCGTATAATGAAGAGTCGTGTATAAAATTGGTGCCGTTCTTGCATTAAAAAAGAAACTGTGCATAACAAGCAAACACATTAGCAAATTGGGACACGCAATAATCTTCTTTTGCTGAGCAATTCATAGTCTTATTTGTTTCCTTTGACATTTTCTCTATTAATCATCGGCTTCCGTCTCTTTATGACTTTGATCGATTACAACGTTGGGTAGACAATGAGTGTGTATATAAATATTCCCATTATAATATTAATATTTATGTTTGTAAAATTTTTAAAAAAAAAAATCAATTATGTAATGGATAATAAATAATGACATAATCACATTTATTTTTTGTTGTATCTTATCTGGATACAACATTAATAAATGAATTATCAAAACTTACAAGTATATGTAAGTTTTCATTGTCACAGTCAGAAACGAATACAATATTTTATGTTGAGGAGATATAAGGTTGTGAAATTTGAAGGGACGAGAATAGCCAATTAGTAGAAAAAAAAATATATATATAATAATTTAAAAATCTTAAAGGAGGATCTTATCAAGCTCATCTCAGTCCATTCGTGTTCAGTGGTCACAACTTTGTTATGGAGACGCACTGCTGCCAGTGAGCTTTCATTTTCATCTTCGGCATAAGGCCATCTCTTATCCCCAAGGGCTAAGCCACTCAATCCTTCAATCCCCAATCAAAAGTTCCAAAAAAACCAGCGTGGAAGCCCATTTCATTATCTCCTATTCATCAAAACCCTATCTATCCACATTAATCCCTTACTTTTATTGAGTAAATATTCGATATTTTTAAATACGACATTATTTCAAATTATTTTAGGTGATTATTTTTTGAATTTTTCTTAGTTATTGACATTACATATACACCCTGAAGACTCAGTTGTTCGAATTTAAGTTCTATAAGTAAAACAACATTTTTTTTATTCTTGAGATCACTCAATGAATTTATAAATACAATATTATTAAGTATAATGTTATTTTAAAAAATTCCTGGACTGCAAAATTATAAAAAAATATATATATATATAATTGTATATATTAATAGGTAGGAAACATATTTAAAACTGTTCACTCACCCATGTCGGGTGACCTAAGCACCGAGGGAGGTTCGCACTGCCACTGAGCTGTCTTCGCATCCGACCCAAGGGCTCCTTCCATGGTGAAGCAATTGTCCACTTATATGTGGCTTTTACTCGCCAATAAATTGGCTGGTTTGGATTCATTCATTGTCTATGAAATGTCAGCATATTTACAGTTGGAACAACCTGAACCTTGCATTAATTAATAAACTAATGTAATATATCTGCATAATTAACATATAAAAGCAGGTATCTGATATTGATGAAGGAGTTAATCATGACCATTAGTGCTCAATGATAATGAAGATTTGATGTGTAAAATCAATTAACTCGGGAGCCAAGTAGGTGAATCTAAAGCATCACATTAGCTGATTAATTAATAATTATTATTAATTAGCACGGATTCGTTTAATTTTACAGATGGGAAGCGGTGAGTGGTGACAAGCAATTTCACTTCATTGGTCGCTTTCCATCCTAATTGTCAAATGATACGAGTTTTAATATAAAAGGTTAAATATTTATTATAAGATATGAATTTTAATTCTATATAATTATATTTGAAGTTTTTATTTGCCGTGTGGTTTTTCACTTCTTTGCCTTCATCATAAATCAATGATATACGGCACCAATATGTAGGGATGACAAACGGGTATAGTTTCGTAGATTTCACATCGCATCCGTTTTAATTGGAGTGGGGATGAGTATAATTTTAGCGGGTAGTGGGCGGGTGTGGATTTAGAAAGTGGTACCCGTCGCGGGTGGTGGGCTGGTAATGGGTTTGAGACATTACCCGCCCCGCATCCGCCCCGCATCCGCCCGCCCCACATCCGCCCGCCCAGTTAAATATCTATTAAATTTTAGACCATTATGAATTTAGGTGTAATTTTAGAGACTAATTTATAAATTCTAATATTGTATAAGATATAACATGTAATTTATCCAACTCTCCAACAAATAGCAAAGGATATTTTGGGCATTCCTGTCTCACTGTCCCATCAAAATCTGCATTCAGTATAGGTGAAAAGTAATTTGTCATTATCGTAGTCGACTACTTCCGGAGACGATTGAAGCATTAATATGCTCAAAATTAGCTTTGGGCCGATATTAAAGGTAATATTATTATTTAGTTTATATTAGTTGTCAAATTGTGTTTAATTATCTTATTAAATTTAGTTACTAACTTATATTAGTTTTACTTTCTATTATATATGTAGGTAGTAGTGAATTTAAATTGGAGCGCTCTCAGTTGAGGAAATAAAGAATGATGATTGTAATACTGAAGTATTATATGTCACAAATATTGTCTGAAATTTTAGAATGTTGTGCCAAAGAACAAAAAACATTATGTGTTTGTCATTTATGTTTCTAGACTTTAATTATGTCCTTTATTATGATGTTTTATATATTTTAAGATCTATATTAACACTTAACTTAGATAATCCTTGGATTATTTTATTATGTTTCTTAGTAGACATGTTTTTTTATGTTTGTTGCTTATGTATAACTTAAGTTTTCTGTCAAGAGGGTCTAGACGGGTACATCGCTAGTGGTAGTGGTGTGGGATGTATTTGATAATGTACCCGCGTGGACGGGTGTGAATTTAAAAATTTGTACCATCATAAATGGTGAACATGTGGTAGATTAAAAAATATTAGATAAGTATGAGATGAGGAGAGTTATCCACAACCGACCCGTCCGTTTGTCATCCCTACTATGTGAGAGGACTCGTATACAGTACAAACACTCTTTTCTTGGTTGTTGGGTCTCCCTCGTTCTTCAATTCAGAGCTCATTTTCTTCTTGATTGTTTCCTTTGGTTTTTCCCTTAAAATCTGTAAATTGGGTTTTCAAGGTTTTGTCGATTGGATATTTGGGTTGTTTTCTTTTCTTTGTTTTTGAATTTTGTTATCGAAGACTCAACCTTTGTAATTTTTCTCCAAAAGCTGAATCTTTGAGAGTTTTAAGTGATTTAGAAGATGACAATTGGGGATATAACACCAAAGATGGAGAGGAAGTCGAGGAGGAGCAAGCATGTTGTTGACGAGAAAGCTCCCTTGTTGCCGAAACAATAAGATGAAACTGCTGGTTATGATGGATTCAATGGAGCTTCATTTACTGGGGCAGTGTTCAATTTATCAACAACAATTGTTGGTGCTGGGATCATGGCCTTGCCTGCAACAATGAAAGTCCTGGGGATTGATTCTGGGGATTGCTATGATCATCTTCATGGCATTCTTAACTGATGCCTCCATTGAGTTCTTGCTTAGATTCAGTAGAGCTGGAAAAACAACTTCTTACGGAGGTCTAATGGGAGATGCATTCGGAAAGTATGGCAGAATCTTTTTGCAAATCTGTGTTCTGGTCAACAATATTGGTGTACTCATTGTATACATGATTATTATTGGTAAAAGCCTTAATTCCTTCAACTGAATTTTCATATTTGGTTGTCTCTCTTGTTGATTTGTTTATTATGGTAATGTGTGAATTTGCTTTTCAACTTATGTTGGTTTGTTGTTCTTTTGCGAAGGTGATGTGCTTTCTGGAACATCATCAAGCGGGGTGCACCATTCTGGTGTCCTTGAAGGGTGGTTCGGAGAACACTGGTGGAACGGGCGAACCTTTGTCCTTCTCGTCACTACACTCGGCATCTTCTCTCCGCTGGCATGCTTCAAGCGGATCGGTTAGTGTTTCGGTTGTGCTAGCTTTACTGGATTCCAGTGAATTATCTTGCTTGTTCTTGGTAGATCATTAGATAGATCATATAGACTCCATTAAAACATGATTAAAACTATTTGCAGATTCCTTAAGATTTACATCGGCCTTATCAGTTGCTCTAGCTGTTGTGTTTCTTGTAATTGCGGTCGGAATAGCGATTATCAAGCTGATTAGTGGAACTATAATGATGCCTAGATTGCTTCCCGATGTCACCGAATTGACTTCATTCTGGAAACTCTTCACTGTTGTCCCTGTTCTAGTCACTGCATACATCTGCCACTACAACGGTATGAGCTGATTCATGAAATATTATACTCTTTATTTAAGCAATGTTCCTTTTTATCTTGTACATTGGTTCGGGATAACACGAATGGCTGATTTTCCACTGCTTAAATTTGCAGTTCACAGCATAGAAAACGAACTCGAAGATTCTACGCAGATAAGACCGGTTGTGCGATCAGCACTGGGTTTATGCTCATCCATTTACATAATGATAAGTGTTTTCGGGTTCCTTCTATTCGGTAACGGAACATTGGATGATGTGCTTGCCAACTTTGATACTGACCTTGGCATCCCCTATAGCGCTCTGCTTAATGATACTGTCCGTTTTAGCTACGTTGCTCACCTAATGCTCGTTTTTCCCGTCGTCTTCTATCCGCTGCGACTCAACATGGACGGCCTTCTCTTCCCTTCTGCAAGGCCTCTAGTTCTGTCTAATACGAGGTTTGCCTGTATTACGGCCGGACTCATCGTGGTTATCTTCTCGGGTGCTAATTTCATACCAAGCATCTGGGATGCTTTCCAGTTCACTGGAGCAACTGCTGCAGTTTGTCTCGGGTTCATTTTTCCTGCTGCGGTCACTCTTAGGTTAGTTAGTCTTTGATTTTACGTGGACGTTACTGAGAACTCTTGCTCCTGCATCATCAGCCTACTCATTTGTCTAATATTGTTCTGTTTATGTTTGTATTCGTCTTGATCGTTTTCCATTGGTGTTTCAGGGATCACCACTTCATAGCAACAAAGAAAGACAAGATCTTAGCTCTTTTCATGATCGTCCTCGCCGTATTCTCGAACGCGATAGCCATATACAGCGACGCCTATGCCCTTTTTAAGAAGAATTCAGGACATAGGGCATGATCTATGTTGCAGTTCCTCTGATTGCAGGAAGTAAGGTTTTTTAGGCCTCGACGTCCTTGAAGACACTCGGTTTTTGCAGAATCATTCTCTGTCTGATTCGGAAATCCGGGTTTTCGAAGGAGGTTCGATTAAGCTATCTAATAAGATGAACTTTCCTTCCAATGTATAAAAGTTAGATTGTAGGGAAGTGTATGAAGTTCATACATCATGCCCCCATGGACGCTTAATTCTTGATTTTGAACATTGTTAAATCAAGTTGTAAAATAGCAAATACAGTGTATCCAGATTGTAATAGACTACTAGCCTTCTTGGAACTGTTCTGGAAATATATCTAGAAAATTAAAAATATCAAGTTCAGTCTATTTTTTTAAAACTAACATCAAACCTTAATTTTGTTAAGGGTTATTATTTGATACATCTATTATATAAAAATTATTATTTGAGAAGAGGGAAATTAATTAACATAAAATGTAGCACAATTTAGATTATAAAAAAAATATCAGTGATCAATGATCAATTTAAAATTAATATCATCGTTCATTAATGATGAAAAATATATAAAAGAAAACTAATATAAAAGAGGAAAGATATAGAGAACGATTAAATTTATTTTTTAACAATTAAATATGAATTAAAAATTTATGATCTAAACTTTAACTTAATGGATATTGTTTATAAAAATATTGTACTTTTTATTTGTTTAATAAAAATATTTTATTTTTAATATAATTTTATTTTAATTACTTTATTATTGTTAATAATACTGAATATATTTTAATTCCATTAAAAATTAATATGTTAATAAAAATATTAAAATAATAAATTAAATTTTAAGTACCAATTTGAAATAATTTTTTCACGTACCAATATGAAAGAAGATGCATAATTCAAGTATTAGTTTGAGTATAATTTTTCTAAAATGTCAACTTGAAAGAAAATGATTAACTCAAATATTAATTTGAGAGTAAAAATATTCAGACAACACCTTAAGAAATGATAATTAATTTATGTACTGAATATATATTTAAACACATATATATGATAATTCAATACACACACACACACATATATGTGAAAACTAAACCGCCAAAACCGACCTGCTCGTTTTTTGTAATTATTCTTTTGACCCGTAACCCATTTCTGGATCCGCTCGTCATTGCTCCCTGTGCCGCGTTACCCTCAAATTCCTGCAACAACTCTCCTTCGTCTCGCCGTCTCTTTCTCCCGCAACCATGACTGCCACAATGGGTCCACTGCCTTCCCGGACCCCTAATCCCTCGGCCGAACCCGAAACGGTAACCCAAGAAGAATCCGAATCCAATACGGATGATGGCACAATTGTTGTATTTCTTCAGGAGACACTTCGTTCCATCAGCTGGCAATCAGATGAATGTAATGAAGATGATTTCCTTCCCTGCAGGCAATTAGTGTTGATTGCTTATCCAAATGCCTTTTTACGCATTAGGCTCTCGTTATATATATATAGACCCATATATAGTTAGAATTCACTTACACAATTTAAAAAGTTTTACACATTTTTTGGATGATTGGATTAACCAAGTTTAATGGCTGAGATTAAAGCTTTTAAATTTGAGGATAATCGACATCTTCCTTTCTATTTTTTGTAAAAATCTATTCACTCCTTTTCTGACGGTAACATGTAAAACTTGAAAATTTACACTGTGTCAACGGATCCTACCTCAAAATATACACGCACGCGCTCATTTTTGGGAGAGGTGGGTAGAGCTTACCATTTTCACTTGATGGCTACATATATTGTGCATTTTTCTTTCACACCCTAATTTCACATTGTTTTCATGCAAGACTAACAGATGTTTTGTTGATTTTATTTTCTACTTATTAATGTCGTTTGGATATCTAGGATGATGCTGATGAAGTGACTTGGCAAACCTACAAAGGACAGCTTACAGAGAAGCAGGAGAAAACCCGTGATAAGATAATAAAAAGAACTGAAAAGGCAAGTCCTGTTCTCTTTGTGACTTATTGCGAAATGAATTTAGTGACACATTTCTTTTCCTCATTTGGGTTGCTTGTTTTAGTTGTCAAAGCTTTCTTTCTACATCTTTATTTTCAACATGGAGATGCCTCTTTCTGATCTATTCCTTGTTAGTACCTTTTCTATTTAGTTATTTTAATTATTATTATTGCAACTTGTTGCTCTGGATATAGATTGCCCATATGAAGAAAGAGATAGATGCAATACGAGCCAAAGACATTTCACAAGGTGCGTTGACACAAGGCCAGCAAACTCAGATTGCTAGGAATGAACAAAGAATGACACAGGTATGTTGAAAGTTATGTGGATAGGAGTCTGATGTGTTTCTATTGGATTATTATATGGTTTGATTATGAAGAGAAGTCAGAATACTTTTGACACAAATCTCGTAATTTTTGTAGATACTGGAAGAGCTAGAAAGTTTGGAAGAGACTCTAAATGACAGTATCCGTGAAAGCATTGGTGCACGTGCTAGGTTTCTCGGGGTAAGCGAAAGGGAAGGCCAGAGGACGATGATGAAGACTTCTCAAGGTAATTTCCATTTTGAGAAAACCAGATATTTTATGTTGCCTTTGCTTCCAAAGCTGTTGAAACACATGCAAATTTTTGTTATATACTGTTTTACTTTAGTGACTCGTGTAGAATAAATATGTAATTAGCTGTTGTTGCATTTATCTTTCTCAATTTTCTTCTCTTCAAGTATATCAGAAGGATGTCTATCTGGTTTGTAGTTAAGTAGACTTATGAAGCTAGATAAACAGTTGATGCTCAATGACTTTTGATTCTTCAGTGATGATGATGATTTCTATGACCGGGCAAAGAAGAAACCCACTGTGCAAAAATTTGGTGAAACCCAGTCTATTGAAACTGCTGATAGTCTTCTTGATAAGAGAGATGTCATAACAGAAGAAATTGAAGACAAGAAAGAGTTGCTATTGAGCGAGAAGAACAAAATGGCATCAGAAACTGGCTTAGACACTGAGGCTGGAGATGCACTTGATGCTTACATGTCTGGGCTTTCATCCCAGCTAGGTGAGTCAATTTTAAACTAAGATATGTGTATGTGTGTAATCCTACAAGTTCATAAAATATGCAGAATGCTGACGGTGGAAATAATTAAGCACATTGTCCATTTTTACTTTTCCTTAGGCTTCTTTTACTCGTCCTTCTGCTACTTCCTTTTTCCTTTGAAAGCAAAATATAAAAAGAGCCTTAGCTTACAAAAGCAAAAATATTTCCCAACAATTAATGAATAAATCGCTGAGTCATATGGATAATGTAAAAAGGAATAATTTAAATCTATATGTAGATTGATTTTTTGTTACATTTGAGCTATTTTCTCTTTTTTTAAATATGGTCATATTTTTGTCTATTTATTTTTACTTTCTTAGCTATCTAAAAAGGCAAATATTAAATAGTGAAATGTACATAGCTGACTAGGCTGATTCTTTCTTCATCAGTGCTTGATAGGACGGTGAAACTTGAGAAGGAACTTTCTGTCCTTCAGTCTGAGTTGGATCGGATCTCCTACCTGTTGAAGATCGCAGACCCAATAGGAGAAACTGCTAAGAAAAGGGATACAAAGGCACAAGTACCAGCACCCGAAAAATCTAAACCTCCTGCGGCTGTTGTCCGGAAGCAATCTCCTAAGGAACCCAAAAAATTTAGTATTTCTACAGAATCAGAAAATTCTCCCATGCAGAAAGAGGGGGTCACAGATGTCTCTACAGAATCAACAAAGAAACCAGAAGAAAATATTGTTAGGGATACATATGAGGGGAAAAAGGCAATCTGTACTGTTGCAAAGCCCCAGTGGCTTGGTGCTGTTGAGAACAAGGAGATTAAAGAGTCAAATCAAGTAATAGAAGTAGATACACATAAAGTTGATGAATTTGTTGACTACAAAGATAGGAAGCAAGTACTTAGGAATGGTGACAATCCACAGGTTAAGGAGCCAGGAATTGAAACTGCTGCCTCAGGTTTGATTATAAGGAAACAGAAACAGGTTGAGAAACCTGAAGCTGATGATAAAGCCTGAGATCAATCTACGGCATCCTCTGCTGGCTGAAGAAGTTGCGCAGAATGCTGTGGCGCTATTGCTGAGGCACGCTAGAGGATACCATGCAGATGATGAGGAATTGTATGAAACCCCTGATCTGTTGGCCAAAAATCAATTTAAGAACGAGAATAAGCCGAAACGAGTGCTTGGTCCTGAGAGGCCTTCATTTCTTGGTAGCAATCCAGATGAATCATGGGTTCCTCCTGAAGGTACTCACTTTAGCTTTTGCTTAGTGTCAATGAACCGTAAATTTGGGTTTAACCGTAACATCTGTAATGTGTACTGATGAATGGATTGCAACTTGATTCCATTCATAGGAATTGTACTGTGATTTTTATAAAAATAAATTATGTTCCTTTCAGGGCAATCTGGTGACGGGAGAACTAAGTTGAATGATCGAAACGGATACTAGTCATGCTTGTCATTGTATCGATTGAGTTGGAGGCGCAACGCTATCTCAGAAGCGGTGTGCCATTCATGGCTTACGGTACTGCTTATAAGGTTGGCATAAACTGGCAATTCCGCTTGTGAGGATCTCGTGTAGCAGATTGACTTGAATCGGATGAATCTTGATGTCCCTGGAACAGAAATTGGAGGGATGGTACAAAAGAAGAGAAGAATGAGATAGAAAAACACATAAAAAGGTTGTTCTATGCTTTAATGTATAGAAACATCAGATATGTTATACGTGCTAACATTGTCCAATAGACAGATCTAATATGAGTTTGTAGTTTAAATTCTGCCATGAAAAACCATGGCAAATTCTCCTTCCAGCTGCGCAGTTTTTTTTTTTTTTTTGCTAAATAGTTCGTTTAAGCCAAGGTAGTCAGTATCAAAGACATTTTTCTCTCTTGATATTTGTACATCAGTGCCAATGTGTTTCAGCATACATATATAGGTGTAGTGGTATTTTTATTCATATTTACAGTTTATTTATATTAGATACACTAAACAATTAGCTTTTGACATTATACTTTTTAATGTATCTTACATTTACCACAGAGTCTTAGTAAAAATAAAACATTTTCCTGAGTCCAAGTAACTTAGCAAGAGGAAACTTACCTTCTTTTTCCTCTTTTTAAATTACTTTTTGAACAGATAAATAATCACGGGTTTGCAGAAAACTTTATCGACTGTTCTGAAGTTATGAATAATAGATCTAGTAGTGAGAATGATTTTGGCATTCCATCAATGCTTGCAATGCTCATAATTGTTATACATGC